ACTTTGATCAGGCACGAATCACGATCGTTCTTTTAACTTGGTCGTTCGCTTAATTTCTTCATTTTTCATATATTATCGCATTACCGAATATCAACGAGAAATTCTTCAAAAAGAATTCAATTATTTGTTCGTTTGTTTTTCAGGTCGAAGACCGCTGACATCGAGAGGATGTTGCACATCTCCAGACCAGATGCAGGCATCTCGATGTCGCAGCAGGGTAAGACCGGCTCTTCGACGTCCTCCGAGAGCAAGAAATACACGAAGAGACGTTACACGGACTCTAGGCATCAAACTCGTCACATCCCCGATTCCGATACGTTGGCGGGGAAAAACACGGTTACAGTTTCATCCTTGCCATCCGTGACGATGTCCGCTTCGTCTTCGGCGGCTGGCACGCAGAATCAAAGAACTAGAGCACAGCCGGTCTGGAAACGACGGGAACTGATTTCCAGCGCGCCCAAGGACAGGGAGGGATACCTCTGAATATCCCTGTGGGCGATCGAATCGAACGTCCAAGGATCTCGACGAACCTTTTTCTTTTAGAACTCGTTTCAAGACGGTTCTATTAAAAGTTGAGCGCACGATCAAAGTTTCGCATTGATTTTAAATTGAAAAAAGGGCGTTTCGTATTACGATTATCGAAGATTCAGCGAGGAAGTTTGTACGAATGCGCGACCTACTTGATTACTTGCTTCGGATCGTACCTAAACTTGCACTTAGGTATGACACGTAAAAACGTCGAATTAGAAAATTCAACGTTTAGTCAGCTATGGTGAAATACAAAAGACGACAACAAGAAGGAACAGCTTGCGCACTTGTACACATCTTCCTACGTTGAAACGTGTTACGAAGAGGAACTTAAACAACGAAACACCTTCATTGCACGTTGCTTGAATAATATTTTGAATATAGCTTCCGATGGATTCTATTCCAACGAAACATTGTGCCTTAACGTATTAAAATTCCAAAGTATTACGTATTCCCCTAAACGATAAGGTATTTAATTTAAGCTATTTAACGATTACAAAGAACCAGCTTTATTCGAGCAACGTACAAGTAAATTACGCTTTGATCGTATCCAGCTGAATTATATATTTCTACGCGATGAAATCTGAATTGTGCGCCGGATAAACTACGAGTGACTTTGAAAAGAAACCCGAGCAGGTCCGGACCGAGTATACGATTCGATCGTCAAGAGTGTCCGCGAAAGAAAAAAAAAAAAAAATGAAAAGAAAAGAAACAATATAGTCACTGCCGATCAGGCGTGGCCTGGCAAAGTGTTCCTCGACACGTTTCTCGCTTCGAAAGTGTGATCGACGTATCGTGGGGTGTCTATTGGTTCCTAGACTACCGTCCTCGCGCTCGCAAAGATCTCCGTGACGAAACGCACGACCCCTCTCTACGCTCTCTGTCTCCCTTCATCTTTCTTTTATCTCGTTTTACCACTTTTCTCGTTCTCTCGACGAGATTAATCGCGCGTAACGAACAAATCAAACGGGAGGATGTTCTACCTTGCGGTTAATTTATACGGAAAAGAAAAAACAAGATGGAACGTTGATCTTGTATCTAAGAACGTAACATTCTGATGTAGTAGCGACACGTTAGTAGCGATTTGTAAATTATTTTTACTATTCAAGATGGAGGGATTTCCCTCGAGCTTTCGTGGATAATTTGTGCGAAAGCCACAATGTTATCGCGTGCACGATGCAATCCTCGACGAACCAAAACGAAAGAAAGAAGACCAGCCTCGAGTCCCTTGAACTCGCGTCGGGCCATTCTATCTCTCTGGATCGACTGAACGTCGTTGTTGGTTTTGACGCGACCAACGATACGGCGTTGCTCTGTCGAGACGTGGTTCGTCGATCGTAGACTATTATTTTTGTATAGTTATTACAAGTACCTAATCGAACCGGTAGTTCGTGATCTAGCGATGACGAGCCAGAGCAGCTAAACTAACGAATTTCGTCTCTTCGTTTCTTTCTCTCTGTTTCTATTCCTTCCTTTTTCTCGCCGGGAGATTCTCTCGGTTCTTTTCGTCTTTCTTTTTTAAATCGCTCTTCGTTCGCGAGAAGTTGCCTCGAAAGAATTCGTGTACTGCCGTGAGGGACGCGTGGCCCGAAAGACGCTGTTGTTCGTCGTTTAAGTTTTCATTTTCAGTCTGTAAGCTAATAAACGAAGGTTAATTTTTTTACTATCTCGAGTACCTTGTATTCCAGTTTCCTCTATTATTCCAGATAATTATGGCGAAAATTTGCCGATCAAACTCGTTGCGATCGACCTTACTTGCCATATAGCTATTATAAAGTTTGCTATATAAGCTACTAATAGCTTCACGCCAGTATTACGGTATTAAAAGATAGAAAATAACTGGGATCAGGATTTCGCAAACGTTACGTTCAACGTTCGATATTTGTGATCGTGGATTTGTTTGAACGGACGAAGCGCAAGAAAGAGGAGTTTCAGGTAATCGTGAATCATAGAAATTCCTTTATTATCGATTTCCTCGCATACAGTCCTCACACGATTCAAACAGCATCATACTGGTCGTTAGAAAATTCATCGAGACGCACACAAACTTCGCGATATAGGGCGATCGTTTTCGCTTTAATGGGTAGCAAAATGTGCAAAAAGTGAAAACACGGATTTTTTTATAATTCTAATTACGTTTGTTACTCGCGCGTAACTGCGTTTCCATCTCACTCTGTGTTCTCTTATTACGTTTTTGAAAGGTACAGTTAGAATCGCACAAGCGCTTTTTCGGAATCCAGAGAAACTTTTTTTTTTCTTTTATTAATTTTTATTCTTTAACTTTTTTTTTACGCAATTTTATTCGTTTCTTGCACTTTTATTTTTTAACAGTTTCAACGATTTATTAGACGACGGTGGCTCCCACTTTTTTGAAACCTTAACATTGAACACGCCGGTGATGAAATATCTTCGAATAAAGGAGAAAATGTTTCTACGAATGAAAGGATAGATACTTTTTTGCGACTATAACGTCAATCATTTAAGGTCAATCACTGAAAGATATGTAAGATCGAGAAATTCTGGATTCGGTAAGGCAGAGCTTCTTTGTATCCTTTAATTCACGGATGTCGAGATAATTCTTGCGTAGGTCCTATAAACATGCTCGGCTCGTGCGATTCGTTTCGACAAATCATATCAACGATAAAAATCAGCGTAGATACGTCGTTAAATATTTCGCTCGACGTAATATCGACGTAATTACTCTCTATCAGAAACGCGAACGTTAAAAGGAAATTACCTCGAAGAAAGATATCAAGAAAAAAGTACGGTTTAACCGTAGAACGATCAAACTCATAATTTACCAATAGCATAATAAAATAATCTTTCAAACAAAAAAAAAGGGGGGGCAGAAGAATAACTCGTAAAACTCATATAGGAATGATCGGAAAATTAATTTCGATCGAATTTCATTCGATATAAATAAATAAGCGTCAACAACTATTCACACACGGTTCTACACGTAAAAAGAAAGGCGGAAGAAAACGAATTACAAAGAAAAGGATATACAGTAAAGACTCGCCTGTCGACTTTGCATACAAATCATAAATAGCTCCGGAATCATCGGCGAAAGAAGCGTGAAAACCGCTTCTTCTAAACAAAAAGAGTGACAGTGTCACGATACCAACAGTAACGGTAATAAAAAATAATATTAATAATAATAATAATAATTTCTAACGAGTAAAACGTGTTCTCCTGTTCGAGACTAATGACACGAGCAGAAACAATCGAGTACACTGCGCAACATACAATATATTTATATATATATTTATATTTATATATAAATTTCTTCTGCATATTTATATATATATATATTAAAACAATCGCTAAAAAATATAAATATATTTATATATTTATATTTGTATATATATATATAATTCTTGCCGTTTTACGGCTAGCTGCCTACGTAGGGCTGGACGGATGCGACGCAATAAGTATTTTATTTATACTTCGTTGCTCGAACGAAGAAACGCCGAGTTGAAACTACGATGCGACGAACAAGGAGCGTACAGGAAAAAGACAAAGGTGTTAGATTAAAAAACGAAAAAAAGGGGAAACATAGGGAGAGAAAGGAGAGGGAGAAGAAGAAAAAGAAAGAAAAAAGTAGAAAAACATATCACGTATCCTGCGACTTCCAAGACGGACGACTACGTGTTATTACTGAAACGCGCCATTTGACCGTTTCCTCCTCTCTTTTTTCCAAATCCAGCGAATACGGCAGCTTCTCTCTCGTTCCTCGTGCTGCTTCTCTCGATTGCGAGAGATACGATTGTTCGAGTAAAAATTCAAGAATAGGAAGAGAATGTAGGAAGAGAATGTGCCCGTAAGCTATCTCGAATGCCATTTTATCGCGTTTTATATTCGATGCAAGAAACTTCTGCGCCTTATTTCTGCCGGATACGCGAAGGAAAAATTGTACGTATGGGATTTCCTTTAGACGCGCGAATAAACGTAAAAACAGACGTAATTCCAGGGCACTAAGCTCGATAGAAAATATAGAAAATTAGCCTGAACGTTCAAAAAACAGATTTCAGAACGATGAAATTAATTTCGTTAAACGGTATTCATACGGTATTCATACGGTAAATACTTGGTAGAAATCCAAATGAAATATCTCACGCGTGAGTATGATTTCGATAATCGAAGACGAAGAATACTCGAAGAAACGCAACCAGGAAAAGCCATGTAACTAGAAAAGATTGTTAAACACCGATCGATTGGTACGTTTCGGTAATAACACGTCGGTCGATTCGCGAACTTAATCCTATACTTTAATTGTACGCCATATCCTGGGCTTAGTTTCGATCTGGCTATTTCACGCTTAAAATACGATAGTTAACGATCGGCTTTAATTCTCTCCTTACCATCGCTTTACAACGTAATACCTATAGCATTATCGCTGTTCCAACCGTGACGTAAATCGAACGACGATAGTATCAAAAATTATTATCGTTCTTCCGTTTTTTAAATCAGGATCGACGATTCGTTTCGTACGAATGACTCGTTACTAGATTTAATTAAGTTCTATCTGTAAATGCATAATTAAATCTCTTCGCCAAATACCGCCGCACGTATTCGCCGCTTCGACGTTGTGCTTGTCATTTAGCGATGCGCCAATCTCGATTAAACAATTACAAGTTGCTAGTAGAACGTTAAATGCGCATGTTTGATACGGTTTATCGATCGATTCGATCAAATTCTATTAACCATTGGCGGCCAAAACGTGTGTACTGGACACGATGTGGGATGATATCGCGATCCCGGAATATTTATCGGACAGCTGAAAGTTTACACTAAACTCTCGTCGTATCTTTTGTAAACGGTGCCGAGTAGAAATTTTTGAATCGATGTTACACAAAGATTTAAATAATTTCTATTTGATTAAATCAACGAAAAAAATCGGTGGTTTTAATCGAACTAATCCTTTCGATTAAAACGTCCTATCTGGCATTTTGAAATATCCGAGATAACTGAAATTTTACCATTCTTACTGTCCTGTCTATTTTAACGAAGAAGTAGATACTTGAGAATTTTTGAAACGTTTGAAATATTTTCAAAACGGAGAAGGATGTAAGAACGATATTTTCATCCAACATCCACTTCGCGCAGTACTTTGGGAAAAATTTGCTCGTGCAAGTAATCGATACGATTCTGAAACGTGGCCGGACCACGAGTAAGCTTACTGCACGAAGCAACCAGACCGCAAAGGGTTAATTTCTGCTTGTTCGCGGTTGGAACCGCTGGGAACTTAAATCGTAATCTCAGCGAACACGACTGGCTGGTTTTCTCGATCCTCGCCTGATCGAACGCACTGAATCCATCGACATCCTCCTTCTCGAAACGTGGATCCATCTTTAAACGCCTTACATCTTTCGATTTAATATCAGTTTCGAACGAAATAAAATACAAAAAAAGAAGTAAAATACTCTTCGATAAATTACGACTTTCGCGTCTTAACGAGCGCGACTCGAAGAAAGAAGAAAACGAACGAGAACTGAAACTCTTACGGAATCGTTGAAAGTTTCTTATCGAGTAAATCGACGACGAAATCGTTGCGGGGGTGGATCATAAGCTCCACCTTTGAATCGGTATTGTCGCGTCTACCATAAATATCGGTCGACGTCGGACGCTTGGCGCCTCGAGCCGAAGGTTACAACTTTCTCGAAGACGCAGCAACGCCATCAGAGATCGTAGTCGAAGCAATTTCCCTCTGCGATTCCCTCGATCACTTTCAACAGGGTTTATTTCCTACGTCCTCGCGGTAGTCCTTCGATCACGCGATAACGCTATCTGGGTCTTTCAGTGGCAACTTTATAGTCCAAGATCGCGAGAAAGTCTTTTCGATTCACCTCGATAGAGCGTCACATCGTCGGAAGTAGGAGAGTAACGAAACCAACCGACCGAGCAATTTCGAAGGTACCTCGTGCTTCGTATTTGTCCTTGTTTATGTAAAGAGAAAAATCTATCGACCCTCTATATCGTCACGGTTGAAAATTACATACGTACATATTAATTTACATTTCGTCGCTGTATAATTTCTAATAAATTCTTGTTATTCATCCACGCGAAATTGAAATGTACAGAACAAACGGAACATAACACCACTGTGCAAGATAATTATGGTAGAGTTGCTTTCTCGGTTGCCTTGAAAAGGATATAAATTTGAAGAAACATCTACGATCGTCGAACGATTACTCTCTGTTTCCATTGAAATACGGTTTGAAAAATTGTCCCAATCATTTGCTTTTCCATAAACGAATCAACATTTTCGCTACAGAGGGTTACGATATTATTCTCGCGCGTAGGAAAGTTCTGAAAGACCCGATAAAGTAACGAAGAAACTTCAACGATAAGTATCGCGACGTCTTTTACGAGTGCCTAAATAAAGTTAATACCAGAAAGAATCGGCGGACTGTTTCTCCGCTTTCGCGATAAAGAAATTGGTCGAGCTTCGTTGCCTTGCTACGCTCGTCGTTGAACTTTCGTTTCGTATCGGAATGCTTGTTCGACGAAATCGGCTGCGAGTAGACCTGCGAGTAGACCCGCGCCAGAACAAACATCATCGACGCTTTCGTCTTCGCGGAAGTTGTTTAAACCTCGGTAGAGTGCGTCTGAATTCGCACTTTTTTCTGCGAGCCGTTCCTCGATAGAGTCGGACTGTGCGCCGAAAAACCGGGATTGTGGATACCGAGCGGCTTTGGCTTCTTCAACGAGCTTCGAAGCGGCGAAGCCGTGCTTGTCACGCTTCCGGAAGTTGCTACCGACGCCATCGAACCGTTTCCGGCTCCGCCTACATAGGGCTTGCCACTAGCGTCGGTCATCGAGATGCTGCCGCCTGAAATTCGAAACACCAAATATATATTTTCATTTATTTCGAATATAAAAGTTTCCTATTTTATATATGATATACCTACGCTATATCTGTGAAATCGCGTAAAAAATCTGTCAATAATTTATGTTTCTCTATTTGTGGAGAATTTAAACGCGAGGAAGTACGCGATAATTTCGAAAATATCTCGAATAAAGCAGTTACGTATTGTACTATTAGGCGAGTGAAATAAATTTCTATTTAGGTTCCATTTATTTAGTCGCGATGGTAAAAATACGAGTTTACGTAAACATCGTGGTTAATGGCGTTAACGAGATAGTCTACTATGTGTATATTAATTTAGCATATTTTTTTCTAGTAATGACACATTTCATTCGCAATGACTTAGCGTGTATTACGATATACATATGTTACATTACACGATAGAATATATTAAAATGTAGTTTACAATCGTAAATTGGAACTATTAACACGTAATCCGATTAATTTTATTTTTATTCTGAACCTGAAACCTGGCTGGAATTAGGAAGGTAGCGACAATAATCTCGACGTTAAATGCACCATTTTATACGTTAAACTCGTTTAATTGAAAACAAACTGGATTATAAATTCCGACTAATTAACCAAAGAAACTAACCGTCGTAAAAGTTAAAAACAGCAAACGAGGACTATAAAACAGATAATTTTGTGTGTGTGTGTGTGTGTGTGTGTGCGTGTGACAGTGGACAGTCCCACAACCTTTCACTCTACGATAATAGGAAAAAAAGTTTGGAAATTGATTGTCCGCCGAGGTGGCCAACGGGTTTTTCAACTATTCCAGTACATTGAATTAAATTCCACGATTTAACTTTAATCGAGGCACGTGAAACTTTAACAAATAAAATATAATCATTATCGATAAATGCTATTAGGTTGTCCGAAATGTTTCTTTCGTTTTACGAGCAAATAATAAACGCACAACTTTTTTTCTTTTATATTATTTTCTCCAATTACGTACGATCCATTTTGTTCCGTTGAGATAAACATCGCGACATTTCACAGACTTGGTTTCACGTTTGTACAAAGGTGCACTGTTGTAAAAAACACGTTTGCGAAAGAAAGACACTTTTACATTTATACCTATTTACATTTATAAACAAATTTAATCGTTTAAACGATATCGTAAGATTGCACGATCGTGGACTGAAACAGATAGTCTCTCTATTCGGTATTCGGTAATAATTAGAAAATTTATAGTCGCGAAAACTCTTGCAATTACAGGGCTTCTTTGAATCTCTTTGCGAGGAAATCGTAGTTAATAAGGACGTAAGAACGTTTAATATCATTTATAAGAGTAATTACTCATTACGACATAATTTCCAGCTACAGAACAAAATAATTGCATAAAGCAGCCGGAACAGCGTATAACAACCGCTAGTTCTGGAATTTCTCATTAGAGGTAGGTAGAATCTTGGCTATCGTCTTTTAAACACCAGACGAATAATAGACCCCTATAAATAATACTCTTCGTAAAACGCTTCTTACATAGTCCGCTATGCTACGAGTAACCAACTATAATTGACGAGCTTCGTAATCTTCGATCGATCGAAAATTCGCAAGAACAAAAAGAAAAAAAGACGACAGTTTTTCGCGAAAAAGCACAAATCGAAATCTATGAAAAATCGCGCACGTTGCAATTCGATGAACACTCGTGTCACGTTTCACGCATGCATCCACGTACGCGGAAGCAATATTTAAGCGCACCTGCACTCTTGCTACGTGGAAATTCATCGAGACGTTTTAATTCACCACGAGACACGATCGAGCGCGATGAGCACTCGGCTGAATTTCTACTCTATGTGTCATCCAAACGCAAAGTTATTCGGGAAAAAATTTTTACATCGCCTCTTTCCACTCGACTCCGTGCTCATCCTTTCTTCTATGGCCTTCCATATCTTTTCTTTTTCTTTTTTCTCTTTTTTCTCTTTTTTCTCTTTTTTATCTTTCTAAGCGCTTTGACGTCGCACACGCACAAAGAAGTAACTGTAATTTCTCATTTATGTACTTTAACCTTATCGTATTATTTCCGATTCCATCTCATTTTTCTATCGATAAAAAGTTCCCAAGTCGAGAGCGAATATGGAAATTTCATGCCGGGGAATTTTGTGAAACGTTAGAAATCATTTTGGTGGTCGAAACGGGAGGCAGCTCGAGATGTATACAAAACTGTGTATTGCAGTGGCATCCCTTTTAATTTATTCCCCTAAATTTTAATCACTATCCTTTTACTCGAGATACGAGCAAATATTTCTTCGTTTTGTTCGATTTCTCCTCGTGTCTGTTTATCCGTTTCTTCAGCAGTTAGTTTTCCTTCTATCACTCGCGCTTGCTTCCTTCCTACTGTGACACCGTGTTTCGTGTTACAGTTTAGTTCTTTCTCTCCGCAACTTTGCTCGTTGCGTCCCTTTTCTTTGCAAGTTTTCCAAGTTTGCAAGTTCTCCCCCGTTATTTTTTACTTCTCCGATCCCTGGCGTACGATCTCTCTATTTGCTCCCTTCGCCTTGACTTTGGCCCGTCACGTTTCACCGCGTTTCACATCCGAACACGTTTCTCGGGCATATTGAGTTTCCATCAGCTGTTAGACGAAGGCCCTTAGACTTTCAGCCACGCAGCAACGTTCTGCCACAAGCGAGCAACCTGAAGAACGTCTTCGCTCGATTCAAGCGGATCAAGCATCGCACGAAGATGTTTAAAGTTTATCTTGCTCGAGAAACCCTCTTTAGGAACGTTCAAAAAGGGAACTGAAACATCGGTTCATTTGCTTGCAAATTTTGCAAGCTTTTGCTCATTTTGTAATGCACCCTTTCTACAATGAAAACATTTTAAGAGAAAAATCCTCTTCTCGTTTTATCTATTTTTATTTTTATGAAATAGGAAATGTAATAGGGTTAATTCCTAAATTTGACCGAAATATTCGTGGAAATCAGGTAAAAAATGTACTGTTTCGTTTGGCTGACGCGTAACCTTGAGCGTAACCCGTTCGAAATTGTGCACCGAAGCGAAGCTATTAGGAACTAAATGGATACGTTGCCTCGTTAACCGCGTTAATAATATTCCGACGAGGGAAAAGCTTTACCTTCGAGCTGACAGCCAGGAGCTTTCTCTTTGTTCCGTAGAAAATCGAGTAATATCGCAAGTGGGGAAAAAACTTATGACAAACGTTTATCGAATGCGATATAAAAGTATTAAATGGACGAATGTCGCTTGCCGCGCTACCTCGAACAGATTTCTTTTTAATACGCGATAGGAATTCTAATTTTGTGATGTGAAATTTAAACGAAGCGCGCAACAGAAATTAAGGAGACGAACGAGGAGACGCAAAACTACAGGCAACAAATGTATTTAGTATCGTAGCATCGTATCCCTGGGGCATCGTATAACCGAATTACCGACGCTCTTCGCGATATCATATAGAGGTTGAATTTGAATTCAATTAGTTAACTATAAACCGAAACGAATAGTAATCTATCATTCGATACCGTGAAATTTAATATTTCAACATTATTTAATTCCAGAATTGAATATCGAAGCTTCTATATTCGTCGGTGGAAAGTTTCGATACGAGTCGATGTTAAAAAACGTCTGCGACGACTTACGAGTCTTACGAAAATTTCCGATTCTACAATGCAATATCCACGAGCTTCCAAGAATTTTGAAATCGTGTCAAATTGCTCGCATTACTTGTCGCATCTGCCGATTCCCTTCGACACGAATAAGCAAATTACTCAACTTCTTACTAAATTTCGATCGACTTCATTTTGCCATGCCATACACGCGCTCCATACATTTTGTAATACTTGGTCCTTTGTTACGAAGTATTATTGCTCCTCACGAAGTCTTGCTCGCGACGATACGATCGTGACAGAGGTTTTAGAAACGCGACCTTCGAATGCGAACGAACGCAGAAGAAAGAATATTCTTTATTAAACGAGTTCCGATACCATTATTTTTCTATAAATAGGCTCGTGGTTAACGTCGATAGTTTTTCCGCTATTGTACGGTTGATTATTACGATTTTAGATTTAGACGGGATCGGGAAAAAAATTAATTAAGCAGAGTAGTTTAGTAATTAAACAGGGATCACGTGTCTAGCGAACTTACCATTCGTGGGTTGATGTTCCCGGTAGCCAGGATTATTTATGGTAGCTGCACGAGGATCACCGACAACCCTAATCTTCGTCGGATCACCGCCTCGTCGAGCATAAATACCTTCGTATACTGCGGTGACCAGCACGCCAAAGTTCAAAGCGATAGCAGCCAACTGTAACAATAAGTTTCATATCCTTTGGTCGATGAAAGTTTCAAACAAACTATGTATATCCGAACGATCGATTCGATAAATTATTTCTTAACTTTAAACATAATTTTATCGTAAATTATTATTTAATACGTATATCTTGCATTATTCGAATTCACGGTTACGGTTGTCACACGGATTTTTACAAAACGTTCCAAGACAAAATTTCATTTTCTCTTAGGAAAATAGATCGCGGTGATTAACGGATCGAGAGAATTTACAAAGCGAGCATAAGTTTCCCGTCGTAGCCGATTCACCGTAAAATTATTTCCCCAAAAAAATGAAACTTCGGTTCATCGGATAAATAAATAAACGGTTGCTCGTGCCCCGATAATTCTTGATAAATCTTTCGATGAAACCAGAAGAGCGTTGGAACGTAAAAAGCACGATGAATACGACGTCCAACGATTAACGCAAATACTCGCAATTATCGTACCGAAAGTTTGCAGTCCGATGGAGCATCGATTATGCACGCTCATTATCGATGAAGCGAGTTCGTTATCGTGGACAATTCCAAGCCGCATAATTATCCACCTTTTGTCGGAAGAATACCAGTAAATTAACGATTACCACGAACAGACAAGGCTGAATTGCATATAATACTTTAAAAAACATTTCCTCTGGCATAATTTATTTTTATATAAATTATTCAGAAAAATAAATTACCTATTTTACTTTTGAAAACGGACTTTTGTGAACAAAAATTATCAGAACGCTGACATCGTGACAGGATATATATTACCGAGGAAAAAAACCAAGAGGTATTTCATTAATCGCAAGGAAAAACTTCTTTCAATCCACAGCACCACGACGTACAATTAATATTTGGACGTTGTCGCGTCAAAATTTACAATTACTAAAATCTTCTAATTCATCAATTACATCGATATCGTGCAGTTATCGCAACAGTGGTACATTAATTCGTCCACCTGGACGCGTCATACGTTGCCATTGTTCTAGAATCCGTAAGGTTCGTCCATATTGTTCTATACGAAATGCTTGTTTTCGGCGCGTGTTGTTGTCTCTTGTTGCGAAATACGCTCGATCATTGAACGCAGGAAAAAGAACGGAGGAGGGTGGGAACGCGGAAAGAACATAGGAAAGGCGGAAGAAAACAGGAGATTCAATTAAGACGTAGAAAAGTCGCGGGGAAGCCATTGTTTCGGCGCAATAATCGATTCACCGTTGTTTCTTTAGCTTCCGTTGTGCCTTTCGCCGTATCGTTCCGCCGTATCGACCTGCGGCCGAGCAAAAGGAAAGAGGAAACGGGAAAACCAAATATACGGTCCGCCGCTGACAATTTGATTAACAAACGCTGCTCCCTCTGGGATTTATTTATCAGCCCACGCGTACCACTGTCATTCATTAAGGCCAGAATGAAAAAATGTCGAAGCACGGTTAAATCTTGTACGCAGGAAGAGATTACAGAGATCAAGCTGGTGAAATAAAGCCATGGTATTAGGGGATGCTCGCAACAGGGTTTTAGACTTTGTACGTGCTTCCTCGAGATCCTACGAAACCTGTACTTTATTTTAATAAAATATTTTACATTCGAATGTGAATCACGAACTTAATGTGAATTTATTTTTCAATACAATCGCTGGCGTACGCTTTATATTCTACTTTATATCCTACTTTATTCTATTTATCGAACCACGCGACAGAATTATTCTTTAAGCGTCTAAGAGAATTGCTCGTTTCGTAAAAGAAATAAAATTTGGAAATTGCAAAAAAGATTTCCTAACGATCATTTCTTGTCCCGCAAGGGAAAGATTTTCGTTTCCTCGCCAGTTTTTCTCCGCTCAATGAAATAAGGATAGACCCTCTGCCTCTTTACATTCAAGCTGCATTCACCAACGAAAGAAATACTTTACCATACAAACTCTGATTTTCTTTTGTTAAATTCACGTTATTATTGGCGTCAAGAATAAAATTTCATATTTCTTCTTCGAGCGTTAGAAAACATTTATATGCTAATTTTACCACATTTTCAAATTTATTCTTTTCTTATTAAGAAAAGTACAATTTTCATTGATACGATACGCGTTAAATAATTCTTCCGAGCCTTTCGATATTTATCTGAAAAGTATATAACGTTTTCAACAGTCAATGTATTTTATTATATTTCGAGTATGGAATATTCGAGTATGGATGAAAGGAAAAGATCGAGCGTATCGATTCGAGGCAAAAATGTATACGGTATTATTATTGTAATATAAAGGAACGTCGGTTTTCTATGGATTAACATTAGATCGTGTCTTTCAGTGAAACAGAGAAGAGAAATATGTTAACTCGAAACTTCGATTCCATCCGATCGACTCCACTACTATTATTTTTATCCTATTATCTTTCTTTGTTGTTTTACTTTCCTCCTCGCAAAACGTTTTTATGGCGGGATCTCTGATATTTCCAACGTCTGAAAGAAATGCTTCGAGAAATTCACGATTGAAACAAGCAAATTCTTTAAAAGAACAATTGGCAAATTACTTTTCAATTTTTCCTAAATTCCTGAATATCAACCTTTTCACAAATTATCTAATTCGACGAACGACACAAACCTACGGTTATTACCGATTATTTCTCCGACAAAAAAGCTTAATCTCATTTTCTACCAATGTCACGGACAAAAAATAAACGTCTCTTATATCTCACGAAAAAACTATAAAAAAAAAGGTTAAACTATGGAATCTCGACGATCGTAGAATACGAAACGCACTTCCGGCGAATGTAAAATCCCCATGGCTTAACTTTACATCGTTATAAATCTCGGCTTCGTTTCACCTTGCCCTGTTTCTGTTTGTTCATTTTGTCCAGCTCGATCTCGTCCTTGGCCTCTCTCAGAAGGCTGCGTCTCTTCTTTTCCATCATCTTGCATCCAGTACTATAGTACAGCCGTGTGGCGATCCTCACGTAACACGGATAAAGTGTATTTCATAAAAAACTTCGTACGTTTCACACAGCACAGTTTTATATTCACGAATATGACGGTTCCGTGTCCTTTAACATTCGTAACTTTTCATTCTCCACTTTCGCTCCATTCTGCTTTCCGCTTTCTTTTAATCGAAGAATCGAGAACTTCTTTTATAATAGAAATTTCTTCTTCTTTATAATAGAAAGATCTTCTATAGAATGTGTAAGTTTCTTTAGAAGAAGTTTTCAAAGGTTCGACGAAGCGATTTCAAAGCGATAGATCATCGTAATTAGAAATTTTATATAGTCTTTGAATTAATCGGTGAACGTAGATCGAAGAAGATGTTCGCCTTAAGGTTAACGTCCACCGATCACGCGAGCCGTATCACTGATCAATCGTGCAACAGTATCGATAGATAACGCGTCTCGATCTCGTGTTTCATCGTAGCTAGCTACCGAATGGCAACCTGTTTAACAACTTTCGCTATGAAACACAACAATCCTTACGAAACGCTTTACGTTTTTGCGATGAGGCTGCTCCGAATCGCGATCTCGTTTCTCGAAAATTATTTTACGTACGCTTGATACACAACGTTCGTTAATAGCCTGTTGATAATGAAAAATAAAACAAGAATCTTTAAAAATCACCATATTATCTACTGCTTGTCTATCGAATTTCGATTAACAGATTAACGCGCCAAACACTCGCTGGAAGTTCGTCGACATTCGGAGAACTGATCGACGAAAACGCTATTCCACGCGTCGAACAACAGCTCGGTCAATAAAAGACATGACTGCGATTTGTCTGTCGTTAAAAAAAAAAAAAAAATAATTCCAAGGAAGAAACGGGAACAGAAATCACTGGTAAAGTTCGTAGGCCGAGTACACGACCGTGGAAAAGTTGTATGGTAAAACGAAGGAACGGGGACGCACGTTGCTGGCAAACGATCCGCGCCAAAACGTTCACTGAGGGTCCGCCAATGTCGTCTCATTGTTTTTAAAGTGTCCAACAGTCGTGGGTGCTCTGACACATACTAACTAAGCCCCTGCGGGGGGCTTAACGAAACACCTGCGAGCTGTTTCTGATCAGGTGGCCTTTAAGTATTTAATTCCTCGATCGTGCGCGACTCGCGTATACGTTTCACACTTCGTTTGGAATCTGCGTACGGTACACATATTACGTATGTACATACGTTTATTTCAATATGATACATATATTTGAAACACGCCGTACGATTATCGGTAGAACGATCGATTTCTGTGGCATCGATTCGATCCACCAGATAGAAAATCGGTCGCGTGTTAATTGGATTTAACGTGGAAATTATTCAATGCACACAGCTACATAGTAAATGTATCGCGATAAGTATAATTCCAGTTGAGCCAAGAAGAATGATAATGGTTAATGAGTGTCTAATTACGATACGTTGTCGGAAACTAATGATTACGTCAGTGTGATATTACGTAATCTTGTTAAGTGACACTGTTTCCGATTCTTGCATGTAGATTTTTAGAGACTTTCGAGCGACGAACGATCGATCGGCAATTTTAATATTTGCAACGACGTCGTTTGAATTTAAAAGATTCGTTTCGAAAACGAGGTCACTGATAAATAGCTGTAAAATTATTGAGAGGAGCGCACGTTCCTCTTTCTTATCTTTTATCTTTTATCTTGTATCGGAAAAATAAAGCCAATATCCAATTTATCTACTATTTATTTTTCTATAAAAAATTATATCTTCTAAATAACACGTTTTTAACACGGTTCTTTTTTTTCAAAATATAACGTAGCTAGTACATTTAAACACGAAAGTAAGGAATCACCGTAAGTTTCTCTAGAACTTTCTTTCATAAAATTATATACGCCGACCGTTTCAAATGTCGCTTCGAGACTCAAGCGTACCGTGGAAAACGGTGAAAAGAAGTCGGAATTTTCTACCTAAATACATTTGTCATTCCATTGATTACTGTTCTAATAACTTGGCTGCAGCCAAAGAGAAACTCGACGCATCGGTACGATGTTACGATACACCGATGGATAGTCGAGGCGTATCGTCGTCATCGTCCTTATCTCTTGCGGTGTTCCAATAACCGCGATATTTCTACAAGTCGACGTCATTATGCTACATGCAAATTCGTACCAGTTTCGTTTTAACGTCGATAAACCACGAAGTTTTCTATCTACAAATAAAAAGGCTATCGGTGTTTACCATCGTTAACGAGTCTACGAATCAACGAATTAACGACGTAATTTTCAAACAAATTCCGCAAATTATGATCAAACGACGACAAAGAAACGGATTATATTCTGGAAAATTCGAAATTTCAAGCAACTAACGTTTCTATTATTTTACCTCAAAGACAAGATATCGTAGTGCAAAAGTAACTGTTTTGTCAATTGTCAATTCGCTGATATTACGAGTTGGTACATCTCTGTACAACAGGTTCCGTATGTAATATTCAAGATAATCCGTAACTGGTGGCGCAATTGGGTACAATTGGCTGATTCTACGTGGAAAAACACGATGAAAATGTGAAATCGAATTTTTTCGTAAGACGTTTCGTTTCCGAGAAAATCGAGCTTGAAAATTTGTCAAATATGCTTAAGCTTTTTGCTAATTCCAGACTGAACAAGAGTAGAGATAATCGACATACATGCGAAGATAAGTAAGACACGTAGTAGATAAGTAAAAAAAAAATACAATTCTTGATGAAAGGCTTTCTTTTCGAGAAAAATAAATTTAAAACGTTTCGTATCGTGCGCGTGTACCGGTCAAGTTCCTAACGTTCCTAAAGTTCTTCAAACTTTATTTTCTTGAAAATAATAGGAAGAATTTTATTTTACCTAGTCCGCGCTTGGCCAACTTTAAGCAGACTTGATAAATTTTCACGGAAACGAAGCGTCATATGAAAAAATGTTACTTCGCGTTCTTGCCTTATTTTCGTCACGTAGAATCACACTCTGTATCCACTTATACTGGCAATTACAGACCACCCTGTGTAAATACAACTACTTTAACAAATCCAAGAACCCTCTCTTAATATTAAACGCCAAGCTGTCACTCGTGTTTCATCGCAATATTCCAATAACTAGTTCCCCTGTCATATATGAAATACTAAAATATCCTGCGGCACACGTCTGTTTCGATATAACGTAGCGAACACTTACAAGAACTAAGATCAGCTTTGTCACGCGTAACCATACCGTGCAAGGCGGCGTTTGTTCGGAAAAGCCACGGGACCGAGGCTGATCTGTCCATAGAGTCGCAACATCGTAACGATAAATGATGTACCGCTATCGAGACAACGAGAGCCTGGTTGCTCGACAGGTGAACGTGCAACGGTTTCACTTCCTTTCAGATAGGAGCAACAGGTTTCGACGAAGAGGCAACGCGCTCCATCGAAATATCGTGGAGGAACACAGCAGCGGTCGGTAGTTTCCCTCGTTAAGTGTACTATGCTAATGAGAAGTATCCTGAAGGAAACTAGCTCGATGGACGAGTTAATCGGTCTCGAGGAAAATTACGCTGGTGAAAGTTTCAGGCTGATTTATCAGCACGAACGAAACGGAGATTCGAATAGTGGAGATGAAATTTTGGAGAAAAAGCCGAAGGAACTTAATCGAAGGGGAACGAAGGAATCTGAGAATTAAAGCAGCTGTGTCAGTGAATCGAGGTAATCGAATGACCAAACTTCTTATTACACTGGCTGGTTTTAGATGTTGTGTTTTTCATTATTAAGAATAAGTGGAAAATTTAGTTTTGATATATTTGAAAAAATACAAAATAAACAATCGTAACCGAAATATTCGTAAGAATATAAACTTCCATAAATATTTATATGATAGTTATACGCATATATGTATTTATTTCCATCGTATCTCTTCGATTCTAATCATCTCTGTGTACCACTAGGAGTCGATAGTTACGGTAGAATTGATTGCATAGAGTAATTTAGCGTAATGGAAACGAGATAAGAATAGAGGATAACAAATGAGATTGTTTCCATAGAAAAATATAAGTTGGAATTAAAATCTATATATTTGCATATATGTATAAACGTAGTAAAAGCAGAGTTGGAGGCATTGGATTAAAACTCTTATATAGATAATACTGGCTCGAAGCTCGAATAACACGAATACACGCGAGAGCTTTATCTTGTAATTTAAACGCTTCTCTGACAAATACCTCTTGTTAAAATATTCGACCATTTTTCTTCAGGAAATTGAAAAATACATTTTTTCAACAAAATCTGGTACGTAGACTGGTTGTAGGCACACGAAAAAAGACTTAGAAACAGGATTTGCAAGCTTACCTGCATATAAAACGCTTCTCCCCTCGTGATAACGAAGCTGCTAGCTCTGTCATCGGTTTGTAGGGCAAACAGACTCGCTGCTACGATTGCCAAAGAAGCTGGAACAAAAATATTCATACTCTACGGTTTTCGTATAAACAGAAAATATATCTCTACATAATACGTATCTAGATATTTTTATAATTCGGTAAACAAATAATTTTTTTTTTTTTTTTTTTTTGAAGAGGCAACATTGACCGAAGGGGAAAAATTCATTCATTAAACGCGGTCGACTGCACGATCTATGAGTTTAACGCGTATCACTTTACAGCAACAAGATCCACCGCAGATATTCGATTCTTCGTCTAAGGGTAAGTAGGCCAGTAAGTAGACAAGTGACTGGTAATCCTACCGTGGTCAGCCTATTGCAAAACTCTCCGACACTGTCTGATGCAAAAGGACTTCTCCGCCTGAATTACGCTCTACAATTTCCACGTGTTCGGCAATTTTGTAAATTATAACAATTTAAAGAATCGCGTAGACACCGAATTCCTCTACGCGTAATACGACCTCGTTAAAATATATAAAAAATACAAATAAAAGTTGCAATCTCGGAAAATAAAGACGCCAAACGTAATCAATATATCGTTAATTGCAATTGTGGGGGTAGAAATAAAAAAAGTCATATTAAACAAAGAGAGCGGCGAGTAGAAAACGAAACTGAGGCACATTTCCATAATTAAATAAATCTTAAAATTCATTTCCATTTATATTTTCCACGATACCATTCAGACCATCGTAAAGTTCTGCCTGTATGAGACACGTGTGCTAATCAGTTTGCAATTAAAGTGAAATATTTACCCAATGCCATATATTCGACTATTTCGTTCCAATTTATAGTATTCTCGAATAACAAATTTCATTTGTTGCTTCTCTTTTTTCGCCATTCAATTATATCGTATATTTCACGCTTAATTAATATTCACGCCTACTTCACTCAAACAATCCCGTTTCGAAGACCAGTTTCGCAATTATCAATTATTCAATGGAACTCAACTATAAACGAGTTATCTACAGATAACTTGCATAAGATAGTTTCCTGTTTGCAACCTTATTATCCGATGTTTATCGATAGCGAATGTTAACCAGACAGAAATGATCAAGAGGAATTTCAAGCGGATCGTAATTAACCTTATCAGAATCGAATTTTTCCTTATAGAAAATTTTTTATTAGCTATTAATAGCAAAAACGTATGTCTTTACTTAGTCTTCGAAATAAAACCTAGTTTATTAAAGGTATAATATGCGCATACGAAACATCCTTAGACCGCGGATATCTATGCCAATGCATGTTTTTATAAATATAATTTCAGAAATAGAACCTAGATACATTTTATTTGTTAAATATTATAACGAGCACTTTGAATATGTTGTATATATATATATTATATGTTTATACAACTATATAAACAAAAATTATATATAAAAATCTGCGGTCTAACCATTGCACCGAATGGTAAATAATAGGTGATACTATCGCATTGATTCGAACGATTATATTCTTAGAAATACTCACTGGCCAATGTGGCAAGAGCCACTTTCCCTATCAGAGCAGTGCTGTACGAAATAATAACTCGTTTCGCCGAGGAAGCCATCGCCAGTTGTAGCACGGCAAGACCGACCAGGATCGCCAAAAGAGCAGAGGCGGCCGCAGCGGCTAATCCTGCCACCCACACAGCCACTGAAAAAAGAGAAAATCTTTATGTCACTTTCGATTCGTCGTCTTCCACGATCCATTTGCTTCGATAAAACGATTATTTCCGTGATAAAGATTACTTCCAAGTTTCCGCAGTCTTGGACACTTTGGCTTATTTAGGTATTTTATGGCTAATGTCTTCTGTGACTTTTTGCAACAGGATTTTTATGTTTTGTTAGCAGACTACTGGAATAAGCAGTTGAACCGTTTGGCTTATTTCACGGTATTGGAAACATGGTCAGATGTACTCTTCTAAAGGAATCTTATTATAATACCTTTCTTTCGTTACAGATAACATTCATTCAACTATTGATTGTATTACACGTAATAAAAATGTTATATGTTATAGTAAATAACTCTTTTTTTTTTTTTTTTTTGGAAAAATGGTTTTGACTCGGGTAATGACTCAGGGAGGTAAGGTAGGTAATGACATCTAAAATAAACTTACACACTGGCTGGAATCTGGAAACCCCTTGGCCGCATCTTTCTCTACCGTACAGTAGAAGCTTGCATTGCCTCCAAGGACCAAAGTATCCTTTCTCGGCTGCCGATCCGGCTGTAAAGTCAAAAGTAAAATCACGTTTGATAATCTTCGGTAAAATGATATTAGACTATTCGAAGATACTTTTCTTTCGTATCCTACTCTCAAATACTCAGTTTTTCCATGACTCCTTGACACTTGCAACTTTGTCGTTTGCTACAAACGTTTGCCAAATGTTCGCGGAATTTATCAATTGTAATACTCATTTTTAGAATATATTACAAGTTTTTAACACAACTATATAATTCTAAACAACGTAGAGAACAACTACGATCTTCGTTTTCTCTTTCACTTTAGTTTCAACATCAACGATCGACTGTCGCAAAGTTGAAGCCACGAGTCCTCAGTTTCTGTGACGTAACGACCCAAGATTCTCTTTGATCAGAAAGTCACCGAAGCGTTACCACGGTCCCCCTCTATAAGTGACACAGCGTCCAAGCTAGTTAACGCACGTAGATACCATAAAACATGGGAGGAAACGACGCGGTCTCCGAAACCGATAACAAATCCAACTCGTCATCGGTTTTATCGTACTCGTTCGAGCTCGACAAATTTTCAACCCGATAAATCCTTCCTGGTCGACTACTCTAGCAGCTACTACTGCAACTACTCGAGCAGCTCGTGACCGCGAAGGAAAAAAAAGACGGATAACGAGCGGCAGAGCGACGTTCCTAGTCGCGAGAACGTGATCTCGACGACGATCTCGAGGAGAGCACGGACAATTGAAAACCGCAATTTCGCGTTGCTCGTTTTGCCGTTCAAACGGCCCATAAAGTTGACCTATACACTGCGTGCGTTTGCTTTTCTTCTGCCATGTTCATTTTCATTCTTTCGGAAGTTGCTAGAACAAAAGTGGAAAATCTATCCTGCTTCGTCGAATGGAAATCGATGTTATCATTTAATGGCAAAAATGTGCAGTGATGCGCTAACGTTTAAAATTTAGAGATCGCCTTTCTTGAAAGCGGATTCAGATATAAACCATATAGAAACTATACCGGTCAACTTTGTCGTGGTTAATTCCTATTTTTATAGAATTTATAATTTAAGGAAATCTAATTTATGTAAAGAATTTTGACATTTGATATGTATAGTAGGTAATATTGTAGTATGTGTGATATTCTTTTTAATCTAATTCTTTTTAATCAAATTTAAGCGTACTGTTATATAATTTTTTATGTAATCTCTACTCGATAGTATGTAATTGCTTCACACTTGATACAAGATCATCGATAGGAGAGTTTAATACCGGCGAATTTTGAAGGATGTATCGTATAATATTTCACAGGACGAAATATGGTTTTCGCGGTTATTGCTTTGCTACGTGACCGATGAATGGTGGCGGATTAAAAATTGCGGAAGACAGGGTGCGGTTCGAGTCGAGAAAATGATGGATGGATAATTTATTAGGCCATGTTCCCGTGAATATTTTGCGGACGGTTTTAGCGTTCTCATTCGGTGTTACATTTAGAAACATGATAGGTGACAGCGAGGCGTTTCATCGAGGTGTAAATCTGGAGCGTTGATAACTTTAAGTGAAAATTGGCTCGTAGTGTTCTATTTTCTATCCGTTTTCTTTTCGCAAAAGTTTCACGTACAACATGGTATCGACGTTTAACATGGTAAGATATAAGAAACAGAAAAAGATGCCGTTATACCAATATTTAATTCGCATCCTTTGGAATAAATTGCCGCATACATCTTTATAGATTAATTTTATTAGATTTTATACGAATAACGTACGAAAAATGTAAAATAAGATTTCTATTAACATTTACTCAGAAAGGTCTAAAGTGCCGAACATGCAACACGGAAATTATAGAAAGACACAGTTCCTTTGGCATCTCACCGTTAACCTCTCCCTTGCTATTCTACTTTGTTGGCTTGTGTTTTACCGAAGCGTATGACATCTTCGTTATTAAACAATCACTAATGATCGTCAAAGATCCTCGAGTCGTAGCAGTATTAATCTCGTTAAGATGACAGGAAACTTTCTCTTCCCCCTACGATCACCAATCACGCAAAAGTATTACAAATATTCTAGATACATCGACGAAACGTTCTTATCGTATAGCGAAATTGACAAAATTCCACGCAGACGTTTAACGTCGATTCGTTAGTTAATTCAATTAAATTACGTTTAATTGAACGAAATAATCGAATAAATATCCAAATGATTAATTCGATAAGTAAATCCCAATTAGTAGTTTGATGAACAAAAAATAAGAAGGAAAAAAGTAACTATTCAGGCAAGCAAGGACAAGAAGGCGAGCAAAACGTTACGTAAGATCTTTGTCTTTCTCTATTTTCTTGATAACTGATCGAGATGCTCGAGGAACCTAACAAGGATCATTCGAGAACTTCCAACGACCCATTCGATTTGTCAACTTGGAATTTTGTTACGAAATAACGCCGATACGAATCAATCTAACTTGGAAGAAGCGAACTAATTCTCAAGTTTACGCGAATGTTTCGAAACATATGCTTAACATATTAGATTGCCGAATGGTTCGTGTGCTCGCGGCCTGGTTCGCTTTCCTCTCGAAAATCGTAAGCTCGTCAGGGCGCGCGAACAAAAATGCAATTTGTCACGGCATTGTGACTCGCGCTCGCATATTCGCACACGACGTGTGAAAAAATCGAGTAACTGGGGCAAGAAACGTTCAACACGCGTTCCTTGCAATTCGTATTAACGTCTTTTCCGCTTCGGCGGCGTTCCCGAAGACCAGATCTCGTCGTCCACTCCACCACCACCACCGCCGCCAGTCCTCGAAAGTTAGAAGCGTTCGGATTACGTTTTCTCACTAATTATCAAGCCCGTCATTTGCAAACGAACTTAAGGAAACCGCCGAGCCAATTTCTCGCCAAAGATGTATAATGTCTTAAGTCTGAAAATTCAAACGACTATCGTGGAAATAATTTGTAAGAGAATCGAAAACTTTGATCGTTAATTATGGCGATTATTGCCATTACTAGTGCGCAATTTGTCCAAGGAATTAAAGAAACGTTCGTTTTTTAATTCAATTCCTTGATGTCGTTCGAGTCTGTTTAAAAAATTCCTACGATCAATAAGGATTCATTTACGATTGTAGATAGACTAGTTTCTATTTATTTAACAGCGAACTGTAAGGTCTAATTGCAGTAGAAAATTATTATACTCAATCACGTAACGATGAGAAAATGTTGTTTCCTTTACGTTATAGATAATTCCCACTGGTTCTGAGGATCTCCGATCAAATATTTACGTGTACTCCATAAATAAAAAAAAAAAAATTGTTAAGATCGTCCTACTCTAAATGTCAATATCGTTCCTGTTAAATATAGTACAATTTTTTTTAGTAATTACAACACTTTTATCCTAGATCCCTTTTACAATTAATTCTTGCAGATTTCTCGAAACGACGATTTTTTTCTCCAGTCTTGTAGATAAAATATTGAAATTAAAATAGATACATAATAGAATCTTTACGACACATAAGACACATTTTCATTCCAGTCTCACTACCTTGTGAGTAAAAATTTGCATATCCGTAATCAAATCGTCGTTCCGTGTACGATAGTAACGATTCCCAGGGTGTAGGAAGTAGTTGATTGCAGTTCTACGGATCAGAAGTTTCTACATAGTCTCAAGAGATCAGAGTTGCATCGGTGTCGAGTTCTTCCAACTGGGGGGACTCGCCGTTTCCCATCTCATTAAATAATATATGTAGACTATCGACACGATCCGACACTATATCTATATCTATAAATTATATCGCACTTCGTAAATTATGAAAATTATTCATAAATTTTTAAGCATACCTAATTTCAAAATAATTATCATATAATCTGATATTAATCAAAGACCATGTTTCATCGAATCTAAAAAGTTTCCATTGAAATCAATGTTGTGCATAATTAGCACCGCTCTCTCTCTCTCTCTCTCTCTCTCTCTCTCTCTCTCTCTCTCTCTCTCTCTCTCTCTCTCTCTCTCTCTCTCTCTCTCTCTCTCTCTCTCTCTCTCTCTCTCTCTCTCTCTCTCTCTCTCTCTCTCTCTCTCTCTCTCTCTCTCTCTCTCTCTCTCTCTCTCTCTCTCTCTCTCTCTCTCTCTCTCTCTCTCTCTCTCTCTCTCTCTCTCTCTCTCTCTCTCTCTCTCTCTCTCTCTCTCTCTCTCTCTCTCTCTCTCTCTCTCTCTCTCTCTCTCTCTCTCTCTCTCTCTCTCTCTCTCTCTCTCTCTCTCTCTCTCTCTCTCTCTCTCTCTCTCTCTCTCTCTCTCTCTCTCTCTCTCTCTCTCTCTCTCTCTCTCTCTCTCTCTCTCTCTCTCTCTCTCTCTCTCTCTCTCTCTCTCTCTCTCTCTCTCTCTCTCTCTCTCTCTCTCTCTCTCTCTCTCTCTCTCTCTCTCTCTCTCTCTCTCTCTCTCTCTATCTCTCCCTCAAGTCTGCTCATAAACCGTCTGTTCGATACAACGAGTCGCACTTGCATCAGTTTCATTGGAAACGCCATTCTTCCACTCTGTATTCTATCGCATTGTGCATAGTGATTCTCAACCGTTTCATCGATGCATACGGTTCGATGGAAAATTTCAAAAATTCAGTACCAAAAACGAGAATATTATCATTGGTTGAGAACGACCAGTGTTCGTGCAAAAGATAATTGCTAATAGATCGAAGGTCCCGAGTTTCATAGAAGAGTAATGTTAAAATGCAAAATGTTGTCAGTCCCATACCAAAACCATCTTTGCATTTGATGTTGGAATAAAAATTTGCGTTTTTGTAACCTACCTGGATATTTAAAAAAAAGGTTAAGAATACCAATTATACAGAGAAATATTAATTATGTTAAACTAATATCATACGTCTCCTACAAACATTGTGAACTCATTACCTCCTTTCGAAAGAACAGAGAGAGAGAGATGCTTAATTGTAAGGAGATAAAATCGATAAAATCCCATTAATATCACGCAGAAATTGAATAATCAGCAGTTCAAACAATCCATCAAATTTTGCGAACGACACTTGTTATATCTTCAACTTTTCAAT